ACAATTCCCTGGTTTCGGATCATATCCCAAGCTTAGGCTTTAGTCGGGAAAATAAGGCTAAATCTTAAGAAAGAGAAAGACGTGGAAAGACGTGGATGAAACCAACTTGACAAACAAATCCTGCAAAAGTGAGATCTGATGAGGTCATCCTCAAATGAATACCTGCGTCGATTATGCGAGGACTGGAAGGAGGAACTTGCTCAATTCGCCTTGTACTTCCAGCCTTTTCTGTGGCCGATCCACGCCTCCTTTTCCCATATATTATTTTCAGCAGTGGGATAGAAACGTGAAAGCGGATGCATTTCAAGGGAGGAAAATAACCAATTTGCTGAGATTCAGGGCCACCGCATTGCTTTGAAAGGGTTGCAACCAATGCCCTTCCTCGGAGGGTAGACCCATTGGAATAAATAGTAACATTACACAACACGGTTATTGTTCCTGGGTTAAAAATGTCATTTCCTCATTGGTTCTATCATGAAAACGCGGGAAAAGTGTATTAAACTGCAAAAAGGTTGTTTTTGTGTATCACCCTGCAGCACTTTTTGCCCTAGTTTTTCAATTTATCTCAAGAGTCTCAACCTATTCAACAGAGTTTGTGGCAGCCACAAAAACAAAGTTTCAGAAGTAGAGCAACGACTTTCAGAATAAGGACCACACAATTAAACAGGAAATATTAGTTTCAAACCAGGAACAGAATTTTTTTTTAGTTGTTACTTAGTGTAATCGCATTTGCCATTCCCAGCAAGGTCCCTTTTGAAGGTCGCTGAGATCCTCACACTGGCGAGCTATTCCCCCCCCCCATATTTGTTGTTGTTATTATTATTATTATTATTATTATTATTATTATTATTATTATTATTATTATTATTACTAGCTTTACCCGCCAGACATTGCTGTGGCCAACCTTCCCTCCCTCCTTCTTTCCTTCTTTCCCTCCTTCCTTTGCTCTCTCTTTCCTCCCTCCCTCCCTTCCCCTTTCTTCTTCCCTTCTCTCCTCCCTTCCTTCTCTACTTCTTTCCTTGCTCCCTTTTTCTCCCCCCCTCTTTCTCTCCTTTCTTCCTTCTCTACCTTTCCTTCCTTTGTTTTTTTGTTTCCATCCTTCCTTCTGTCTTTGCTTCCCTGCCTCTTCCTCTCCTTCTTTCCCTCCTTCCTTCTCCTCCCTCTTTCCTTCTTTCTTTCCTTCCCTCTCCCTCCTTCTCCTCCCTTCCTTCTCTACTTCTTTCCTTGCTCCCTTTTTCTCCCCCCCTCTTTCTCTCCTTTCTTCCTTCTCTACCTTTCCTTCCTTTGTTTTTTTGTTTCCATCCTTCCTTCTGTCTTTGCTTCCCTGCCTCTTCCTCTCCTTCTTTCCCTCCTTCCTTCACTCACTCTTTCCTTCTTTTCCTTTCCTTCCCTCCTCCCTCCCTTCTCTACTTCCTTCTCTACCTCTTTCCTTCCTCCCTTTTTCTCCCCCCTCTTTCTCTCCTTTCTTCCTTCTCTACCTTTCCTTCCTTTGTTTTTTTTTTTCCATCCTTCCTTCTGTCTTTGCTTCCCTCCTCTTCTCTCCTTCTTTCCCTCCTTCCTTCCCCCTCTTTCCTTCTTTTCCTTTCCTTTCCTTCTCCTCCTCTTCCTTCTCTACTTCCTTCTCTACCTCTTTCCTTCCTCCCTTTTTCTTTCCCCCCTTTCTTTCTCTCCTTTCTTCCTTCTCTACTTTCCTTCCTTTGCTTTTTTTGCTTCCATCCTTCCTTCTTTCTTTCTTCCCTCTCTTCCTCTCCTTCTTTCCCCTTCCTTCGCTCCCTCTTTCCTTCTTTTCCTTTTCCTTCTCTCCTTCCTTCTCTACCTCTTTCTTTCCTCCCCTCCTTTTTCTTTTCCTTCCTCCTTTCTCTCCTTCTTCTCTACCTCTTTCCTTCCTTTTCTCTTTCTTCTCTTCTCTCCTTTCTTTTTTTTCTTCCCTCCTTTCTCCTTCTCTACCCTCTTTCCTTCCTTCCCTTTTTTCTTTCCTTTTTCCTCCCTCTTCTCTCTCCTTTCTTCCTTCTCTACCTCTTTCCTTCTTTCCTTTTCTTTCCTTCTTCTTCTTTCTTTCTTTCTTTCTTCTTCTTTCTTTTTTCTTCTCCCCTTCCTTCCCTCCCTCTTCTTTTTCCCCCCTGTATTGTCATTTAGCTTTCCATCATTTAGCTTTTGGGGGGGCTTTAAGTCCTTTCCACTTTGGGGGGAAGGTGGTTTATGAGTGATGGTCACTCGTCGGTCTGTTAGGGGTATAGTGTCCAAATTTCGTGTTAATTCGTCCAGTAGTTTTTGAGTTCTGTTAATCCCACAAACGAACATTACATTTTTATTTATATAGATTATCATCATCATCATCATCATGCCATGTAACCATTTCCTAGTACCTTTTTAAACAGACCACTCAGGGCCTTTCCGGACAGGCCCTATATGCCAGGATCTGATACCAGGATTTCTCCTTTAAACCGGATTATATGAGTCCACACTGTCAGATAATCTGGGATAAACAGAAAACCTGGGTCAGATCCTGAGATTTAGGGTCTGTCTGGAAGGGCCTTCAGAATCAATTGACTTTACAAAATATTTGTGCTGAGGGTGGAAGCTGAAATGACTGGGTTTGTTATTATTATTATTATTATTATTATTATTATTATTATTATTATTATTTTACATCAAGTGCTCTCCCTTAGTGTTGGGGAAAGTAGCACCAGGTAATCTTGATAGGCCCCTTCTACACTGCATTATAAAATCCAGATTATCTTCTTTGAACTGGAATATCAGGCAGTATAGACTAATATAATCTAGTTCTAAGAAAATAATGTGAATTATTTGATTTGCTAATCTGGATTATATGACAGTCTTGTGATGGTTTGGGACATGTTGATCCCTGTTTTTCCCATGCAGTTTCAGGTCTCTTGAGTCCCCCTTCCACACAACTGAATAAAATCTGCTTTGAACTGGAATATTTGGCAGCTTGAGCTCAGATAACCGATTTCAAAGCAGATATTGTGGGTTATTCTGCCTTGATATTCTGGGTTATATGGCTGTGTGGAAGGGCCCACAGTATACCCTTATACTGATTCCCATTCACCCCGTCCTAATAAATTCTAATAAATTCAGCGATAAGAGTCCCAGTTTTAGTGGAAATGGAATCCAGCAGGTCAAACATGCCCAGAAACAGGACAAATAGTTGAGGCACTAAAATGTGTGTTGGCCAGTGTGATATTGTTCTTTTTTCTCCCACACTTGGTGTACACAAGCAGAGGATGGATCTACACTGCCATCTGATCCCAGATTATCTCTTTATCCCAGATTATCTGGCAGTGTAGACTCACATTGCCAAGTTCAAGTAGATAACCTGGGATCAGATCCTGGAATATAGGGCAGTGTAGATCCAGCCAGGAATACACCACAAGCTTCTGTTTGAGGCCCCATCTGCACTGCCATGAGCTCCCTCTGTCAGCTCCAGATCCCCATGATTCGAATCGGGGGAGAGCGTGGATGAGCTCCCTCTGTCAGCTCCAGCTCCCCATGTGGGGACATGAGAGAAGCCTCCCTAAAGCTCCCTCTGTTAGCTCCAGATCCCCATGGTTCGCATCCAGGGAGAGTGTGGATGAGCTCCCTCTGTCAGCTCCAGCTTCCCATGCGGGGACAGGACAGAATCCTCCCCCAAGTTCCCTCTGTCAGCTCCAGCTCCCCATGGTTCGAATCCAGGGAGAGTGTGGATGAGCTCCCTCTGTCAGCTCCAGCTCCCCATGCGGGGACAGGACAGAATCCTCCCTAAAGCTCCCTCTGTCAGCTCCAGATCCCCATGATTCGAATCCGGGGAGGGCGTGGATGAGCTCCCTCTGTTAGCTCCAGCTCTCCATGTGGGGACATGAGAGAAGCCTCCCTCAAGCTCCCTCTGTCAGCTCCAGCTCTCCATGGTTCGAATCCAGGGAGAGCGTGGATGAGCTCCCTCTGTCAGCTCCAGCTTCTCATGTAGGGACATGAGAGAAGCCTCCCTCAAGCTCCCTCTGTCAGCTCCAGCCCCCCATGGTTCGAATCTGGGGAGAGTGTGGATGAGCTCCCTCTGTCAGCTCCAGCTCCCCATGCGGGGACATGACAGAAGCCTCCCACAAGCTCCCTCTATCAGCTCCAGCTCCCCATGGTTCGATTCCAGGGAGAGCGTGGATGAGCTCCGTCAACTCCAGCTCCTCATGCGGGGACATGAGAGAAGCTTCCCACAAGCTCCCTCTATCAACAATTCCTCATGATTTGATTCCAGGGAGAGCATGGATGAGCTCCCTCGGTTAGCTTCAGCTCCCCATGCGGGGACATGAGAGAAGCTTCCCTCAAGCTCCCTCTGTCAGCTCTAGCCCCCCATGTTTCGAATCTGGGGAGAGTGTGGATGAGCTCCCTCTGTCAGCTCCAGCTCCCCATGCGAGGACATGAGAGAAGCCTCCCTCAATCTCCCTTTTTCAGCTCCAGCTCCCCATGGTTCGAATCAGGGGAGAGCGTGGATGAGCTCCCTCTATCAGCTCCAGCTCCCCATGCGAGGACATGAGAGAAGCCTCCCACAATGATCTCCCTTTTTCAGCTCCAGCTCCCCATGCGGGGACATGAGAGAAGCCTCCCTCAATCTCCCTTTTTCAGCTCCAGCTCCCCATGCGGGGACATGAGAGAAGCCTCCCACAAGGATGATAAAACATCAAAACACCCGAGGGTCCCTTGCAGACGGCCAATTCTCTCACACCAGGAGCGACTTGCATTTTCTCAAATAGAATAATAATAATAATAACACGGTGATGTCTTTCTGTGTGCCCTCAACTCTTTAGAAAGACCCCCTCCCTTCCCTTTTCGGCTGGAGAGGAGAGAGCGTCGCGCGCCTTTGCCCTCTCTCTCTCTCTCTCTCTCTCTCTCTCTCTGCCTCCCTCGAGGGCTCCGGACAGAGTGACGTGGCAGGAGCTGATTGGGCGGGCCCCGGGCCTCCCGCGGGTTAAGGCGGCGGCGCGCGGGGGGCCGGGCGCATTGCGAGGGAGCCCCTCCAGCTCGGCACTGGCCGCGGAAAGATGGGCGCGGAGTGATCGCTCACGGCTGGCTTCCCTTCGGGACCGCGTCCGCCCCTTCGAGCCTTCCGGGCCATCCAGCGCGGGCTGCGGCTGCTCCTCGGACGGAGGCATGGAGTACACGGCGGCCTCCCCGAAGCCGCAGCTCTCCTCGCGGGCCAACGCCTTCTCCATCGCGGCGCTGATGTCCCGAGGGGGCCCCAAGGAGAAGGAGCCCGCCCACGACGACACCCTCAAGCCTCTGGGTGAGTGAGGGGGCTAAACATCCCCAGCTCTTTCGGCCGCTCCTCATAGGGCTTGTTTCCCAGACCCTTGATCATTTTAACCCTTGGGGGCGCGGGTTAACACCCCTACAATCATAGACTCATAGACCTCATGGGCCATCCAGTCCAAACCCCTGCCAAGAAGGAGGAAAATCGCATTCAAAGCACTCCCAACAGATGGCCATCCAGCCTCTGTTTAAAAGCATCCAAAGAAGGATCCTCCACCACACTCCGGGGCAGAGAGTTCCACTGCTGAACGGCTCTCACAGTCAGGAAGTTCTTCCTCATGTTCAGGCGGAATCTCCTTTCTTGTAGTCTCCAGGGCTTGCTCCCTCCTCCCTATGACTTCCTCTCTCATATTTATACATGGCTATCATGTCTCAGCCTTCTCTTCTTCAAGCTAAACATGCTCAGCTCTTTAAGCCGCTCCTCATAGGACTTGTTCTCCAGACCCTTGATCATTTTAGTCGCCCTCTTTCTCTGGACACATTCCAGCTTGTCAATATCTCTTCTTAACTATAATTTTTTAAAATACAAAAAAAAAATCCAGATTGCTTGCTTTGAACCGGATTATATATAATCCGCTTCAAAGAAAATGATGTGGATTATCTGCTGGGATTGAATTATATGGCAGTGGAGATCCTTCCTTAAACTAAAAACAAGACGGTGTACAATGTTAAACCCATTTCTCCTCCTTTTTCCCCTTTTCTTCCTTCCCTTCTTTTTCCCTTCTCATCCTCCTCCTCTTTTTCCCTTCTCTTCCTCCTCCTCTTCTTCTTTTCCTTTCTCAATTTCCTTCTCTTCCTCCTCTTCTTCTTTCTTCTACTCATCCTCCTCCTCTTTTTTTACTCATCCTCCTCCTCTTTTCCCCTTCTCTTCCTCCTTCTCCTCTTCTTCTTTCTTCTCCTTTTCTTTTCTTAAGTTCCTTCTTTTCTCCTCTTCCCCTTCTGTTCTTTCTCCTCCTCTTCTTTTTCCTCCTCTTCCTCCTCTTCTTCTTTCTTCTACTAATCCTCCTCTTTTTAAATCATCCTTCTTTTCCCTTCTCTTCCTTCTCCTCCTCCTCTTCTTCTCCCTTTCCTTTCTCAAGTTCCTTCTTTTCTCTTCCCCTTCTGTTCTTTCTCCTTCTGTTCTTTTTCCTTCTCTTCCTCCTCTTCCTCTTCAACTAATCCTCCTCCTTTTAAATCGTCCTTCTCTTCTTTTCCCTTCTCTTCTTTTCCTTCTCTCCTTCTCTTCTCCTTCCTTTCTCAAGTTCCTTCTTTACTCCTCTACCCCTTCTGTTCTTTCTCCTCTTCCTCCTCTTCTTCTTTCTTCTACTAATTCTCCTCTTTTTAAATCACCCTTCTCTTCTTTTTCCTTCTCTTCCTCCTCCTCCTCCTCTTCTCCTTTTCCATACTCAAGTTCCTTCTTTTCTCCCTTCCCTTCTGTTCTTTCTTTCCCTCCTCCTCTCCCTCTTCCTTTTCTCCCCCCTCCTCCTCATCTTCTTCTCTTCTTCTGCTTCTTCCCCGTTCCTTGTTTTCTCCAGGCCCAAACTCAAAACAGTACAACCCAAATGTATAAATATCAAAGTAGAATTGAATACAGGGCGATTTTCAACCATTACAACCCTATTGAAATGCATAAAATCCAACTAAGCGCCCCGCTCAGGTCTTAACAACTTTCTTCTTTGACAGCCTAGGCAAGAAAAGAAGGGAGGGGGCCATTCTGGCTTCTTTAGGCTCTTTAAGCCGCTCCTCATAGAGCTTGTTCTCCAGACCCTTGATCATTGTACTCGCCCTCTTTCACTGGACACATTCCAGCTTGTCAATATCTTGTCAATATTAGTTGGATGCAAGTCGGATGTTTGTAACTCAGGGACTGCCTGTATGTATGTGTGTACATGTGGTACATAGCTCTGTGCCCTATTTCCTTACCAAGAAGGGACCAACCAAGACCCTCATCACACTCGAGAATGAATCCACTTTAAATCCGATTTATTTTCTGTGTTTCAATTGTCGTGATTTGACATTGGTTGGTGTGCTTATTTATATTGTTTCTTGTATTTTATTTTTATATTTTATTTTTGTCTGTTGTTTATTTGCATTGCTCCCCTTTGGGAGATGGTGGCGGGGTATAAATAAAGTATTATTATTATTATTATTATTATTATTATTATTGACACAAAAACACAGTATGTCACAACAGGAAATCTATATGCTGGATTTCATATCACAAAATCACAAGTCGAGCACTTCCTAAGCTTCTAGGACTGTGTGATGTATACCTCACACACTATTATTATTATTATTATTATTATTATTATTATTATTATTATTTTACTGACACAAAACCACAGTATGTCACAGCAAATGAGATCTATATGCTGGATTTTGTATCATAAAACCACAAGTCGAACACTTCCCAAGCGTCTAGGACTGTGTGATGTATATTATTATTATTATTATTATTATTATCATTATTATTTTACTCACACAAAACACACAGTATGTCACAGAAGGAAATCTATATGCCGGATTTCATATCACAAAATCACAAGTTGAACACTTCCCAAGCATCTAGGACTGTGTGACATATACATCACACATTATTATTATTATTATTATTATTATTATTATTATTATTATTATTATTTTACTGTCAAAAAAACACAGTATGTCACAGCAGGAAATCTATATGCTGGATTTCGTATCACAAAATCACAAGTCGAACACTTCCTAAGCTTCTAGGTCTGTGTGATGTATACATCACACATTATTATTAATAACATTATTATTATTATTATTATTATTATTATTATTACTATTACTGTTACTATTATTATTATTTTATTGACACAAAAACACAGTATGTCACAGAAAATGAGATCTATATGCTGGATTTCGTATCACAAAATCACAAGTTGAACACTTCCCAAGCGTCTAGGATTCTGTGATGTATACATCACACATTTATTATTATTATTATTATTATTATTATTATTATTATTATTATTATTATTATTATTATTTTACTGACACAAAAACACAGTATGTCACAGAAAATGAGATCTATATGCTGGATTTCGTATCACAAAATCACAAGTCGAACACTTCCCAAGCGTCTAGGACTGTGTAATGTAGACCTCACATATTATTATTAATTATTAATAATTATTAATAATTATTATTTCTGCGTCCTGCAGGATTCTGGGGTTTGTAGTTAAGTGAGGCCGTTCAAGGCTCCTCCCGAAACTACAAACCCCAGAATTCTGCAGGAGGCAGAAACCGGATTTAAAGTGGATTCATTCTCTTGTGTGATGAAATAACAAGATCCATAAAATCTCTCAAGCGGCATCCATGCTTTCTACTCTTCCCAGGTACTTTTGGATTCATTCTCTCTGTTATGAACTTTAGAGCAGGGCTTCTTCAACTTTTTCCTCTTGCAACCCTAGACATTTTTTACATGAGCCGAGATATATGGGTAGATAAACAACTGCTGAGAGCAAATCCGCATTTGCAAGGCTGGTTCTCCTTTCTGTGGAGTATAGCCCAAGCTGTTTTCTGCAGCGCCCATTGTAAACACAATTGCTTTAAAGGGAAAGCTTTTACTGTTGTCAATTTTTTTTCCCCGACCCCAAAATTGATCTAAAGGTACCCGGATCCTTGGTTTAAACTTCTGCAACCAGTCTTGCCCACTGTGGTCAACTTTCTATGTTCAAATATTGTGACTGTATATTGTTCTGATGTGTTTATTTATATATTTTGTGTATTTTATCTTATTTTATTGTTGTATTTTTATATTACATATTTGCATTGTTGTATTGCTGGGCTTGGCCTCATGTAAGCCGCCCTGAGTCTCCTTGGGGAGATGGTGGTGGGGTACAAATAAATTATTATTATTATTATTATTATTATTAGTATTAGTATTAGTATTAGTATTAGTATTATTATTATTATTATTGTTGTATTATTATTGTATTATTTTGCAGGATTGACTGATTGCAGTATCCAGGGTCCCTTCCACACAGCTGAATACAATCCCACATTATCTGCTTTGAACTGGAATATATGGCAGTGTGGACTCTGATAATCCAGTTAAAAGCAGATATTGTGGGATTTTCTGCCTTGGGTTATACAGCTGTGTGGAAGGGCCCTAAAACTCCAGTATCTAACACTATGTCCCAACCTTAGACATTCCACAGATTTATTATAAACCCTACTTGCCTAGTGTCTAACACCTCACAAACTCTGAGGGAGAAAGGTCAGGAGAGAATGCTTCTGGAACATGGCCATACAGCCCAGGAAACTCACAGCAATCCACTACTACTATAAACTTAAAGTTAGAACCCAGCAAGGGAGGGAAAATGTCAAATCACAACCCAACAACAACAAAAAGGTGTCTTGTTTTTAGCCCTGTTCCTGGAATGAATGTGAAAATTGCATTGGATAGACCATGTCAGCTTTAGTTTCTGAAATATGGTTATCATAGTTTTCTGTGGTCAAGCAGATGGTGACTGGTAAATAAATAGCATAGGTTCTGTATCTCGAAAACTAGAGAGGAAAGGGGAAAATTGGTGCCATATTTGGAATTAAGAAAGTCAAATATACCCAGAAGCAGGGCTAAAGTTGGCCAATAATAATAATAATAATAATAATAATAATAATAATAATAATAATAATAATAATAATAAATATAATAATAAATATAATAATAATAAATATAATAATATTAATATATTTATTTACAGTATTTATATGCCCTTTTCTCAGCCCTGGAGGGACTCTTAAGCTCTTTACAAAAAAATAATGGCAAAATTCAATGTGTTACATATATAATCCGTATCATAAACCAAACAGCATATGACTGAGCATAAAATACAATAGGACAAATTCACCATAAGATAATAGGACATTTAAACATGAAGTATACAAAAATAAAAAACACCGAATAAAAACATCAAAATCACATGGCAATAATATAATTTAGAAATATAAGTTAGAATAATA